AATTCTCTACAAGTTTTGATATACATAGGAGAGTACAAAACATCACCAATCTTTCAAAGTAACAAATTTGCTCCATCTACAATCATTCAAATGATTCAAACTCAACAAGAAGGAATAAATTAAACTCAAGGAATTCCAATGCTCACGGGTAGGGGTAGGAACCAAAGCTAGCCTAACCACCTTCAAACCATCCCTCGGGTAAGGGTGAAACCAAGCAAACCAAGCCCCTCAACTAGAGCCAAACCGAGCCCAGCAAGGCTAAACAAAACCAACACAGCTTCCCATTTAGAGCCAAACCCAGCTCAACCAAGAACCAAAGCCAAAGCCAGCCCTCACAGCTCCCTATCTAGAGCCAAACCAAGCTCAACCAAGAACCAAAGCCAAAGCCAACCCTCAACTAGAGCCAAACCGAGCTCAATCAAGAACCAGAGCCAAAGTCGAGCTCCCAACTAGAGCCAAACCGAACTCAATCAAGAATCAAAGCCAAAGCCGAACCCAACAAGAAACAAAACCTAAGCCAGCCCAACAAGAAACAAAGCTAAAGCCAGTCTCCAACTAGAAATAAAACCAAATCCAGCCGAACAAGAGATAAAGCCAAAGCCAATCGACAACTAGAAATAAAGCAAAAGCCAGCCCAACAAGAAACAAAGCTAAAGCCAGACACAGAAAATATTAAAATCCAGATTTTCATAAAAAAAAATGAAGTTCTAGCCATTTCAAGCCAAAACCAAGCCTCCAAGCCGAGGAATCACCTGCATATCTAAATATTTCAAGCATACAACGATTCCAACATATTTTTGAGTAGGGGAGATGCCTCATGAAGAGTTAAGCCAAGCTCTCAAAACAAGATACAAAGCTTTCCCAAATTAAATAAGTTTTCTCGTAGCATACATTTCAAACCCGGGAAAGCCACAGGAACTAAACCGAGCCCCCACATATGTATAAGAAGTAAAGTGAACTCCCTAGCATTCATTTTAAGCAATAAGCAGTCATAAGATGCCAAAGCCGAACCCCCAGCATGCTTGCAGGAGGAGCCAAAAATCATTTCAAAGTCATGCCTTAATTCCTTAAATGTTTCCAACATAAACATGATATGATAAACAGAAAACGTGTCATATCTCCATCATTTTAAGCAAATATTCAAATCTAAATCCTAAATCATGCTCACATTTCATCTTTCACATGCTCTTAAAGTGAATACCTAAAAAATGTATGAAAGTAAAGTGAACTAGCATGTCGTATCATCCAACAGAGCCAAACTCAAAGACTCGGCAAAGAGGAAAACCGAAAAGAAACAGAGCACCGAAGAAGAGGGGGGAAGAATGGTACCTCCATAACGCCAATGTAAAAGCACTGCAACATAAGAATTCGCCTCAAAGAAACGCTCTCACGGAAATTCTCTTCTCAAACTCCTCACAGCCAAAATTTCTACTCTCCTCTCTGAAAACTTTTCCAACAGAAGAGAAAATATTGTCGTTCAAGTGTACCAGGGAACAAGCCTCCCAGAGTCAAGCTACCAAGAAAAGGAAAACCACAGCTCAGAGAGACTAGCACGACTTCGGGAAGGAGGGTCGCGAGCAAAGAGTGTCGGGCAAAAATGAATAAGAAGTCAACTTTCTCTCGAGAGGAGGGAGAGGGGCTCGATTGGCTCCCGACCGCGCAAGGGGAAAGGGCC